CGAAAAGACCCAAAAACTGAGCTTTCAAATTATGCACACCACATGTAGATATCCCACACATTCAGTTGCAACTGCATGGGCACATAGATATACGTACAGATATATCAGATGTAGTTACAGATTTGCAGATATCAAGTCAGAGCTGAGCTCGTGCAATACACAAGTTGCGTATTTTAATTATTTTGGGAAGAAAATCTATATATAATAATAATTTATTCTAAGTAAATGTGAATACAAGATAAAAGTATATAATAATAAAGCGATAGTTCTACTCGTATTCGATGGGCACGAGCCCACAGGCACGAGCCCATCTCTAGCCTTGTTATTTGCTGCTCTACACATGTTGTTAGTTTTGTTTTGTTCAGAGAAGGGGCGAATGAAAAATTTGTTAGCTGTGCTGCACTCAACCAAATGGTAAATAAATTTTAATTTGATTAACGATTTTGTCGGGCTCATTTTTGGGCCCACAATTGATTGTTGTTTGGCCTAGCATCGAACGAACAGTTGCGAGTGCGGAATTAATTTGTAGCTCTTATGCCGGCGGCCTAATTGCATTTTGCGTTACGTTTCATTAACTTGGTCAAGTGATGTGCAACATTTGTGGCTGGTCAGTGAGATTTTGGACGTGAATCACGGCTTGTGTGTTTTCAATTCAGTTAACAGGTCAGCAGTCGCAACAGTGGCAGCAGTAGCTGCCTTGTCACGTTCGAGGACCAACGCGCTGCGCCTTTGTTTACCGCTTGCTGTCGTGGTTGTAGCTGTTGCTGCTGTGCAAACAATTTGCTTGAGTGCTGCAATTCCTTGCAGGTAAATGCACACACACCCACACACATCTGGCAGTCAACTATCAGCTGGATTGACTAAAAGCAACTCGAGAATGAGTGCTGTGCATGCGTGGAGTGGGTGCAGTCAATGCCTAGCATAGACTGAATTAGTTTGCATGCTAATTCCATTTGAAAGGCTTGTTTGCTCATTCCAAGTTTGAGCGCGATGGCTTGTGTACCCTGGATAATTTGATAATTGCCAAGCGATAAGCGCTGCAAGTGATGCGCGCTATGTATGCATTATCTGCCACAGCAAGCGAGCTGCAATGTGACTAAGAGTAACCAATGCAAATATTTATGATGGCTCGATTTGCATTGACCTTAGAGAATATTGCAATATTCTCTTATTGCAAATATTGCTGCTTATAGCTGTGCGACTAAAAGCAGAATTCAATCAAAGACGAGACTTTGTTTCAGTTGATAGTCGAGTCTTGAAATATGGGAAATATTTCACACACAAAACTTGATGCAAGTCGTTAATGCATACATCTGTCCATGTGCTGCTGTTCCAGCTGTAATTTTATCACTCAGCCAAAAAGTTTACTGTGAAAGGTGATGCGCAGCACAAAAGTATGAAATGGTTTGTAGACAACTCCTAAATTGTGTAAACCTATTAAAAACTTTTGAATATTACTTTTCGATAGTAAATTCGAGCTTGTACTTTAGGCGAGAACTCTTATAGAAATATGTTTCAGTAGGTAGTTATGAACGGCCAGGGGCTTTGGCTCTCTATTCAGCTCATTTGAAGCCGTGTAGCGTCAAATGAGCTAACTCTAAACTAGCGCTGTTCACACTTCGAGTGGACATGTGTTTCAAGCACTGGCAGCAACCAACAGAAGTGGACTCCAGTCCAACCGCCTGCTTATGTACCTCACCCTACACACGACCCAACCAAGCACCGTTTTTTCTGCCCACTGCGATGGTTGTTGTTGCTGTTGATGTTCATGTATCATGGGGGCATTTATCAAGTGTCCCTTTGGAGAGGCAGTTGCTGTAGCTGTTGCTACCGCACCACATTCTGCTTATAGTTGACCAACACTTGTCATACCCCTTGGCATGGAAAATGCGGATGTGATCCCTGGACCGTGTCTGAACTTTTAAAGTGCATTTTTAGCTGGCAATATATAAATTTAAGTGAGGCAACACATTCCATAGATCATCTGACGTAGCCCAGCCTATGAATCTGCCTGTCTGCTACAACTCGAAATGGACATTCAGATACAAATACAGATACAGATACATACGCACTGCATGCATGAGCACCGTCAACTGATTTAGGCTTCGACTTTAATGAAGATATGCCCATAGAATAGTGGTTGGACCATTAAGTCAATGCCCAGACAGACACAGGCAGCAGAGAGAATTAACAAAACTTACGTAGACAGCACAAATTAATTAGATATACAATAAATTACTCAAATGCCAAAAGAAGCAGATAAGCACAAATATAGATATAGAGACATTGAACAGTATTTCATGAGGCTGGAGTAAGTTTTATGGCGTAGTGGATGAAATGGAAGACTTATTGATTCAATTCGATTTAAATCTTTTATAACATTTAATTAATTTAACTAATTGGACTACACAGAGTATGAAATTTTGATTAGGTAAATTTAACGTAAATATTTGCTTAATATTTAATGCAATCATTTAAAGGAACGCATTGAAACATTAGAAATTACATTTTCTCTGCTGACTTGCAATAAGAATTTGTTTGAAAATAATAAAAGGAAAATGCTGAAAATGTTTAATCACAGAAATCACAGTGTGAAGCGAAACAAACCAAAAGCAACAAGAACAGCTCGCAAGCTGTGTGAGAAAAAGAAGCGAATCGGAGAGAACGTGCAATGGCAAAAGCAAAGGCAACAAGAACTATAATTTCCTAAAGGACTTAATTATTTTATAATAAGCACATAACACAAGCGAGCTACAACCAAAGCGCAGCCCCAGAAGCAGCAGATAGACAGATAGACAGGGGAGGAATAAAGAGAGGGTCGCAGGAACCGAAAGAGAAGCTACGTAAATGTAGCGCAAAAGTTGTTCAAGTTTTTCCACTCACAAATCGGAGTGGACGGTAAGAGGCAGGAAAGGGCTGAGCAGGACTCTAGTAAACGGAGACAGCGTAAATTGAGAAAATATTGCAGATTGTTTTTATCTCACTTCCTAGGGTAGTAACAGCTCGATCTGTTTCTTTTCTGCTTTCGCTTTATTAATGCACACTTGAATGCATTTCAGCAATTAACTTTGATTTGCTACAGTTTGACCAGATTTTGCGCAGTTTTTGATTGCGTAAATAAATTAAAATTGTGTGAAAGCAAGGCCACAGCAAATATCAAGCTTTAAATTGAACATCTATATTGCTCTTCAATTAGATCTATGATTTAATGAATTAATTCAAAGATATACGACCTTCAAGGTCGTCTGCCTTGTTCTCATGCAGCATCTAAAAGCGAAATGGGATTGGCATAGGCACAGCATTATGGCCCATTAAATTAGATTTGCTTAAAACGGCATTACGCATACGCACCGTTAGCCGGACGCAGCCGTTTAAACACTTGAAAAACAATATAAATTCATTCAGCATTGGGCTAAACGACGGCCAAACTATAAGCATAAGCTATAAACTACATGCACAGGCCAAATGCAGACAGGGCACATCAGCAACAACAACAACTACAACTACAGCTAGGCATAAATAAATGCCCAACAATTGATACTTTGGCCAACGAGAACAAATGCTACGAATTTATATAACAAGCGAGGGGCCAGAAGCAGCAGAAGGCAGCAGTTGCTTTCGACAGGCATAAAACAGATCCAGAGCCAAATAGATAGTTAAATGCTTACACAGATACACACAGAGTGCCCATATTGGATGCTGGGGTGGCTGAAAAGGACGCTTGAAGAGCAGCATCAAATTCATTTGAATTGCAAAACAAACACAGGCCTAGCACCAGGCCCACAGATGAACTTAATCATGTTGTAAATTTACATAATTTGACGTGTGTAGCAAAAAGAGGCATCAAGACAACTGAATATATATGTATCTATAGAGTGGAATACAATTGAATAGCTAAGAGCAGCCCGAAATGGAATATATGGCTAATATTATTAGTTGTATATATATTTCAATCAGCACAGCCATCAATTCGTTGGCTCATCACAAAATCGATTCTGATAAAATTAAACACAGCAATAAGTTTCAGTAAAGACTTCAATGTTTATATAAAGGGAAATCGCCTTTGATTGACGAAATAGACATTTGTTAATTAAATTATGAAGCTAAGTCAGACCAATTTAATGGGGATGCCAAGACCAGAGAAATAGTTAAGTTTTCAATCAATCAATCCAATAATCATTTATATTCTAATATGCAAGACGTGCTCGAAACAATATTTATAACGAATAATTATACATGTAAGTAATATAATAACTATATTTGAAAATACCATGTTTCATATTCTGTTTTCTCTCGATGGCTCCTCGGTTTGCCTCGCTTTACTGCCAACATTTCTAATGAGCTGCTGCAGCCTGATTACCTCGGGGCCCGATCCACGGCTGTCTGCTGCCTGCTCCAGATATAATATGCACAAATTGCATTAGAACGCGTTGGCAGTCAAGACGGGCGCTCCTTTATTGGTGGCTGTCAGCTATAATGAGCCTCAATTACAGTTAGTCGCGACTCGAATGAAGCTATCAAGATGCGAAGCAGATGCAATATGCAGTATGTCACTATGTATTCGCCACCGTCTGTCACACATTACGACACTTTAATTGAAGGTTATAGCAGCAGTTGGCAATGCACTAATAGACATGGTCATAACCATTCAGCTTTATAAGGTCAGATTGCGCGAGAATCGTCAATTGCATTTTAATACGATTATTTTGCAGTAATAACTCTGATTATTATAAAGAACAGAGACAAACACGGAGAGAGAGAAGAGGGAGGGAGATAATTATTATTTCAGCAAGAAAGAAAATATTAAAATATTTTTTAATATAAACAGTAATAATATGTATGTACGTACACATAAAAACATTTTTGTTACACATATATAATAATTGCAAAAATATAAAATATTTATGTTTAATTCATAATTATTGAATGTGAGAAAAATTACTTTATGTCTGTTGTGTCCAGCAGACTCTTAAGCTAGCTCCCATGTTTAATGTGGCGCACTTTAAGCCAACTTAAAAGCTTGTCGGCTAATAAAAACTTACTGCCCTTTACTGCAGCTTGCTTGCGGTTTGGAGCATTTGATAATTAAGTCTGAATTAAAAGAGCGCTTAGATGTAGATAACTTTGGCTGGTCAGCTGCCGGGCACCTTACAAGTGTTTGCAACTTAATGGAATTTTTAATTTTTGCTCTGCTTCCATTGTCAGCTAACATTAAAGCACATTTTTATTACTACAGCATTAAAGATGCTAACGCATAATCTTTGCTACTCTCTAGCGGCAGGTTTCTTAGTGGGAGCCTTGAGCCAACTGAAGAAAAGCTCCAGCATAAAGACCGACGCGCTGACTAGCATAGCCAGGATTAGGGTGAAGAGTGCGGGCGCAAAGTGCTTGAGGTCCACCTCTACTTCGGAGTCCTTGAAAAGCGTACAGTCAGGCCGGTGCACAGTCCAAATTCGGTCGTTGTATCCAATCAGACCCGTTTCACCCATGTAGAGAATCGCAAAGTTAAGATGTTCGCGCCAAGGCGAGTTCTTCGGCATAATTGAGGCACCCAGATACGGTGGGCTGAACATGATCTCCTGCAACTCGCAGAAGAGCCGCTCGTCTAGCAGCTCATTGAGAAGGCGGTACAGACGATCGATGGCCGTGTGGAAGGCAAAGCCACCGCGCTTGATGCGCTGTGCACCCTCCTCGATGGACAGGATGTTGGGTGGACGATTTCGGCAGATGCGGTGGCTATAAACATCGCGCACTAACTGATTACTAGTGTTGGTAAACAGCTCAAAGTTGTAGGCAATGTCCTCCATGCCGATCTCCAGTTCGCTCTCAAAAAGCGCCTGCAGATTGACAATGCTTCGCGGCATGTCTGACAACAGGGAGCCCACAATGAAAGCGCCGTAGAACTGCATGAGCATGAAGCTGAAGATGCAGCTGGCGCTAATCAGCAGTCGGGTCGATTGCAGCTGGAACTGATTCGTTGCAGGGCCTTGTTGCAGGTACGTCTCCAGCATGATGAACCACACAAAAGACACTGGCCGGTCTATTGCCTGGCCCACTGGTTGCTGCAGTCGGCGTTCCTGCCGTACGTGCAGTACTAACAACAAGCCGCTGCCCACCATCAGAAATAGGACGCACCACCACACTTCTGTGCTCAGCGGCTCGAAGAAAATGTTGCGTATGCTGTTATGACGTGGATGGCGAAACAAAAAGTGAATGCTGCGGCACAAATGGAGAAGAAATTAAAGCTGAGCATTACATTATCTAACAGACTACCTCTACACAAGTACTTTGAAAGATCAACAAGTCATAAGACCGCTCTCAAAACTCGATCATGCATAGCAGAAACTTACAATTGGGTATGTAGCGCTGGCGTGTACTGTATATAGCGATGCCTTTCGGTCACAAATCGAATGGGGCAGATGGCAAAGTCTGCCTCACCGCTGATTATGTGGCCCATCACGCCCGACCAGCTGCCGTTGGGCAGCAGTTGGCCCCAAGTCTTGCGAAAGCGCACCTCCAGGCTGTTGGTCGAATGGAAGTTAACTCAATCACTCGCAAAAAAAAAACGCTTACCTCATGTTATACATGCGCGCCATTAGCAGAAAAAGTTGATATGTTTTGCGCTGCATGGGATCCAGTTGCAGCAACTCTCTGTCGTTGCTCAGATAACTCACATCGTCCATACCTGCCGGCTTCTCGATTAACTGCAATTAGAGCATTAGGAGTTCAATTTGGATCTTTTTGTGACAGTTGCAGCAACTTACCGCCGTGCTGCCTATTAGCGTTATGTTGTGCAGGTTTATACGTCGCCGCATCCAGCTGTCTCTATAGCTCGCCCGAAGCTGATAGCCGCCAGCTCGGCTCCAGTGCCCTTTGACCTCTACACTTAGCGGCATCTGTGGAGCCACACGGTAGACATCGTACAACATCCAGCTTTGACTGCAAGCGAATGGATGACAAGTATTATGCATACGGCTTAGCGATATTGATTGATATTATGAAAATAAACAAAACTTTGAATCGAATTTTTCCTTTGGACAGCACGTAGAATTATTTTGATATTTTCTGGTTGGAAAACTGGAAAATAGCTAGTATGAAATTAGGAAATTAAAACGACCCATAACTGCTGCGAATATATATATAAAAATTTAAAGGATATTTCACTTAAAAATATTTAAATAGTAAAAATGATATATAAAATTGTTGAATTGTTGAAAATTGTCGAACAGGTATTGCATGTATTACGCATACACATAGTTAAGCAATTTGCAATGTGTTACATTTGGTATTAATTACACATATAAATGTATTTTAATACACTTAGTCTAATCTATAATAAAACAAATTTATAGTTATTTTTTTAATTAAATATAACCTACTGGGCTTATAACGCTGCTCTACTCACTTTTTCGCCTGTGCTGAACGCATGGCCACGGTTATATCAGCATCGATATTTATGTTATACGCAGACAAGTGCTGCATAATGATCTGCTCATCTGAGCGACTTGTATGGCTGTAGCCCAGCATTAGCCAAGCCTGGCTATTGTTGAAGAAACCCTCTCTTGAGGCCGCCTCGTAGACCCAGCGCTTAATGTGTTCATCCCCAAAGGCCGGCACTAGCAGCGCAGTACGTGGAGCCGCGTAGTAAAACAATTCACGGAATTGTGCGCCCTTTTTGGGTGTAAAAAACTGCATTCTATAGTTGGCGAACAATCTCTTATAGTTTTCAATTTGCTCGGTGCAGTTGGGCCTGGGCTGAAGTCCGGAGCCGAGAAGCAGAGCATGCTTCAAGTGCTGGGCACGCAGAAAGTCTTCGAAGGCGAGCAGCTCATTGGAATTTATGTTTTCAATTTGCGCGCCACGTAAAAGTGTTGCCGAAATTATAAAAATCCACAGAATTATTTTCACTTGCAATTTAATCATTTTATATGGTCCACTTTCACTAGGGGCCAGCTATTTGCTGTTCAGCTAGCTGCGTGTCCGTTTGCCTCTTGCCTTTATCTTCTGTCGTCTTTTATAGGGTCAAGTCGAGGGAAGCGAATGGCTGCGCATGTACATAAAATCATTTATAATTTATGCGAACTGTCAGTTATGGCGCAGCGCTTTTTTATCCTGCCACACGCAGCGAATTACGGGGCTGACAGCAAAATTGTGCGTTAACTGCCAATGGGAAGCGACAGGGTAATTACTTAAGCATATCAAAAGACATCGTGTAGATATAGTCAATCCGTTACAAATATGTAATATACATAGAGAAAGTTCCTTTTGCATATTTTATATTATGTTATCTTATACAAGCTCGAAAGAAATCAAGTAAGAAATCTTTTGTCGGGAGTGCCTGGTAAGCAAATACTCTACCGTGCGATCTGCCTTTCTGAGCATACGGCATACCTTGAATATATTCATAGATACACATAACACACGCAGTTAAGTAAGCTTACATAAAATGGCGACTAAAAATGAAAAATTACCTTGTTTGAGATGGAGATAGCGCCAAACATAAGACTCATCGACCTTTACCTACTCATTAGCTCTACCAACGCAATGAAACTTTCAGCATATGACTACATATTCTATTTAATATTTGATAATTTGGCAAATAAATAAATTAAAATTGTACATAATATAAATGGAACTAAATTCAAAATAAGAATTAATACATAAGAAATGAAGGCGGACAGATTGACATTTGCAGGCACATTATGCAGTCTGCTACGACTCCCTCTGTCTGTTACATAAATTTTAACATAATCATAAGACCCGAAATTTAATTTTCAATGGGATCAGAGTATAAAAGGAAACGAAGTAAAGTAAAAAGTTACCTACTTTAAGTTTTATAATATAGATGACAAGTTAAAGAACATGGCAGATAGAGTCACATTAAAGAGGACAAAGCTGCTGGAATTAGCGTGACAATAGTCGAGTGCAGCCAAGAACACAGAAGAAACGACAGCAACGCGTGTTTAGCATCGGAATAAACGAAGTACCTCACTGAGTTAGTAATGGTCCTTTCCTGAATGTGTGTCAGTATGTGTAGGTGCGTGTGTGTGTGAAGCAAGACCAAAATGCAGCAGAGCAAATTTGGTGAAAGTTGAAAGCAAATCCTGGAGCTTGCAACTTAATTTCATGGCATGCGGCTGCCGCGCTGCATGTTGCAACTTCATTCGGGCAATTTGCTTCACGACAGCTTGCCACGTGCTACACAAAAGTGAAAAAGAGAAGAAGCAGAAGGAAAAGTGAGAGGGCAGAGGCCATCAAGAGTAAGGGCAGTGGGTTTTTGAGAGCAACAACGAAATAAAAAGAAATTACATTTAATTTGCCGACATTTTGGTTGAAAACATCTTTGTTTTTGCCTTGGGTGTGTTGTTCTATGGAGTGCGGAGGAGCGGAGAAGCGGCTTTGTATTCAGTAATGACAGAAACATTTGCTGCAAGGCCACAATGCAAATGCGCAGCAACAACGCAGGTCCTTTCGAACATAGTCGTGTGTAGTCTTCGCTGGTTCGGAAGATTCAACATTTTGGCGCAGATTTTTGCATCAAATACGCGAGCTGCATGTAAAGGCAAAAACTGTCAGCCCAACAAGAATTTCAGCTATTAAAAAAGGAGCACACACAGAAACACAGAAACGCACATTTACCTATACATAGCGAGCAGACAAAAATATTGCGCATACGCCATGTACGCGAGAAAAGCGCAAGCTACGTTTAAATATTTCCGTTTAAATTTTGTTTGAATTGTGCTTTCTTTTGCTGTGTCTCGTTTTTTTGTTGTTTGACTTCGCTTGTTTTTCTGTGTATTTTCTTTTTGACATTTTGTCACACATGTCAAACGCAACGTGCGCGAATTTCCCGCCCATAAAATTGGGATAAAACTGGATACCACAAAAAGTTTGCATTTAATTTTTCATATGATAAATATGCAGAGTAAGTCGGTTTTTCAGTTTTTTTCACCTTTGCGGACTCTTAGCCTGCAGCATGAAATTCGTCTTACGCCCATTAATCCTCCTCTCCTCTTTCTCTTGTGTGTCTGCCTGTACCTTCGCTCATTTTGGCTACTGATTTGGCAACTCGGCTGCCAAGTAAGCTTTCTGACCTTTCAAAAATGTTAATTCCCAGGAGCAAAAAACGATTTATTTTGTCTGTTTATTATGTCTGATCGTTAAAGTACTGGCTTAACATATAAACAATTGGGTTTTCGGGTCAAAATATACATATATACCAGAAATATAAATCAAGGAAAAAAAATAAATTAGCAAAATCTAAATATCATAGGAAGAAGGCAAAGAAACGCTAATACAAAATATTAAAAATAAATAAATAATGATTAAAAAATATTAAAAAGCTTAGTTATTTATTAAAAATACATTTCTTATAGTCACATATAATTTATTTTCACTAAGCATTTAGTAAAACCTTTTTTAATTAAAAAAATTATTACAATATGCTTGCTTATTTTTTCAGAGCTCGCTAAACAATTACCGTTAGCACAAAACACACAAACAACATAAATACTCAACAAAGTTTATTCGCACAAAGAAATTGTTTTCGTTTAGACTTTTTGTAGTCATGGCAAGTGCGGTCCATCAAAACATGAATTTAACTGTTGAAATCTAAATTTTAATTAATTTCACAGTAACGGACATCATTATAATAATATGCTTATTTTTCATATTTCTTTTTTTCTTATTTTGGATTTTTGCTTTTCTTTTTGCAGTGCTTTTTCTCATAATTATTTTGGCATTTCGAGTGCCAGCATTTTAATTGTACGAAAAACAACAAATGAAAGCAAAAGGAAAGGAAAGGCAAGGAAATCGCTTGCAGCTATGAACCCAAAATGATTTAAAGCGCCTGACCGAATAGAACTTTTCTGGCCGAGGAGAGAATTCAAATTACTTCAATTACTGCGTGGAAATAAAATCAACAAACGTTGCTAGGTGCAAAACTGGTCTCTGAAGCAAAAGGAAAGCTTATAAAATATAGGTGGCTAAATTTAATTTGAGACTTAGACAAATTGCCGTCATAATCACGTTTACTGTGTGGTAGTTCGGCATTTTTATTATTTTAATGTTCGCGTGAACAATTTTGCTGCTCGACAGCCGCGCGCTAAGCAAATTCCCTCGTCAGTTGGGCTGCATTAAGTCAACTCATTATGAAATTACGGCTGGCAAAAAGAAGAGCAAAAGGAAAATGGCAGCGGGTTGAAAGGAAATAACGTTGGAAAAATCGCGATGACACGCAGCATGAAATGCCGGCAAAGAAAACAAATTAAATTTATTCGATTTGTGAAAAGCTGCCAGCTAGCGTAGACAACAGAACTAGAACTTGGCAAGCTCGCATAGTAAATTAATTGAAGTGCTGCGATGAGATCCAGACAAACCAACAGCCAACAGCCAACAGCCAACAGCCAACAGCCAGCAATCAGCTAGCAGCCAGCAGCTACTTGGTGCGAAGCTCTAAGCGCATTCTAAACAAATTAAAATTCAATTAAAAAGATGAAATGGCATTTCCAGGCTTAATACGCAGCATCCAAGCTGCCCACCAAGAACAACAATGCGTCCACAACTGTCTGGCCCGAACACAACTGCAATATCTAGCATACTTGCGACGCAACACTGTCCTACAGAGTTACACTTCACTCCAATGGATAACATATCTATGCAACCATAAAGATTCAATGCGCGACTACAAATCCAAAGTGCAAAATGGCTTAAACCAAGTCTTATAGTTTTGTTTGAACTTAAATCTATTGACATATAAATATAAATTGATTATTGATTATTATTGCGCGAACTCTAAGATCTGACCCCTTTACATCTATCAAAGTAGTAAGGGATCAGTTTATTTTTGCAATAGAGCTAAGTTTTTCTCACTCTCCAAACTATTTTTGCTTCATTTAACTCCTTTCAAACATTCAATTAGTAAAAACACCTTTATACAACTGTTGTATAACACCTAACGTTTCGCTTATTTGTAGCACAGTGCGTTGCATAAGTACTCGTTCAATATAGATATAGCTTGCAAGCACAGTGATGCTGATGCTGATGCTGATGCTAATGCCTGGTTTGCTGTTGTTGCTGTTTAATCTCTGCTAAAAGGCATCGCATTCAATTCATTTAGCGGCTACGCGTTATCACAGCCGTCAACCACCATCAGCGTCATCCTCGTGCCTGCCAGCGCGTTTGTCAGTCAGGCTACAACAACAAAAGCAATCAGTTTTCTGTTTGCGAGAGGGAGATGCGGTGGGGGCAAAAGCTGGGGGAGGTGTCATAATGCTTCACGCAACTTGAGACCTGAAGCATCATTTCCAATTACGCGCGCTGCCTCCGACATTTTGCCGCTTATGATTTTCGGTCAGCCGCTTGGACTCGAACATTTTTCCATTTACCCACGCCGCCCCCTCTAGTTTTCCCTCGATTTCCCACGCCCACTTGCCGCTTGGTCATGGTCATTGATGTTGCTCTCATTATGAACATTGTTGGCCGGGGCCATTCAGTGCTCGCCAATCTCCATTTTGTCTGCTGTCCTTCAAGGCAGCATTAAAATCTGGCAGCACTTCTCGCTCCATTACAAATTATGCCTCAGTTAGAGTGCTGTGATTTGTTCTACTGCTTCTATTTTCGCTATTATAAGAATGCGATTATAAATCTGGACTTATTATCTCTTATAGAGAGCTAGAGCTTGTTTAATTTAATTTGTTAGTTATAGTATAGTATTATTAAAGAGAACTTTCGGATTTGTTTTATTTTACAAAGCTTTTGAATAACAAGAACAAGAGCTTTATCAGAAATCAAAAGATCACATTCTCAATTTAAGAAGCTTAAACCTAGTAGCAGCATATAAACTGAAATCTGTACCAAATCTCAGCTTTAATCTATGTGACTTAGAAGAGTATCTATTTTCTTTAATATATATTATTTTTCTTCTAGCAAATGGAATCGTGCTGTCGCTGTGGTTTGTGCAACTTAAGCTGGCCCCAAAAAATGTCCGTTTTATCATTGCTTGTGTTGTGGCTGAGTAAGTTTGAAATGTCCAAAGTTCAAGTTGACTTGGCGACGAAGCATGAAATTATCTGTAAGTTTCTAGAATT